TTCCTAATAACAGCCTTTGCAAGCTGTCAATCCAAGCAACCACACATTCTTCTTGTTGTGGTTGATGATCTTGGTTGGAGTGATGTCGGATACCAAAACATTTCCCCAATTCAAATGTCTTAAAAGACATTTATACTGGTTTTCTTGATTCAGTATACAGATGCTGAAGAAGTAGTTCTGTGGATGAACACCGTGGGACCATATCATAACAGACAAGAAACCTACAATTATTTTTCATTACCATTCTGTCGTGGAGACAAAAAGACTATCAACCATTATCATGAAACCCTTGGGGAGAACATACAAGGGGTAGAGCTAGAATTCAGTGGGCTAGATATATCTTATAAAGGTACAGTCAACATTCTGGTTTAKCAGGGTTCTCAGTRGAAGCCGGCAGCCGGCGAAAATCACCAGTTATAGCTTASTTAATCGCCGGCTACTTATGAATTTATTCACAAATTATTTGGCTGTACTTTTCCTATTTTGATATCTACTTGTATTTCTACTGAGAACCTTGGGTTTATCTTATCAATATGGCCAAAGATTGTAATATRCAGCAGTGTGATAAAATATCATTAAACCCTTTGTAGTTAAACCCTTCTAGGGGACAAACCAGGGAATTTTAGTTTCAAAGAGAGCTAAAGTCATTTGTTTTGTCCCCAAGATAAAGCTGAATTGACAACACATACAAGGACCTATTAAGTGGTCACCCTTGAACTTGCCAGAGTKGCTGCTTAATAAAGTTTTGTACTGCATGTAAATAGAGGTTGGATAGAGAGCAAAATAGTAAAATTGTGTTGGATTTTTTTTAACGGTGGGCACTACATGTACRGTCATAATGCAGGGATTACTGTGGCCACTGGTAACCATGGTCATAAATGCAGGAATCACTGAATGCCATTTCCGTATTTAACTGCTGATCCATTTTATGACAGACAGACGATCGTGCATGACTATAACATCAAAAATACACTCACTACTCCATTATGATTGTTCAAAACTTTGTTAAACTTGTAAAGGTTTAAGATCATAGATCAATATTTTTATGTTTGATTGCAGTAAATGTCCCTCCAACCAAGTACTGTGAATTGACACTTACACAGGACACATATGAAGCATTGGTTTATGCTGTAAGGAACCACTACTGGTATCAAATGTATATAGGTAAAGTTCTAGTGATAGAATAGCATTTTACATGTATATGTTTCCATTGGTTTTTGCTAGTCCTCATTTACAGTGTATATTAACAAATTTCCAATAACCAGTTGTCAAGAGTTGGAAATGTTATTAACCATATAAATCCTAATTTATAGCATAAAAATTTATACAAAATTGTACAGGGGGCTGGAGGCACAATGTTCARTGGGTGGAATGAAATTGTGACTTTGTTATAGTTACAAGTTTCAATTTCCTACGTAAAATGTCTAGTATAGTGTAGCACATAAAACTCCATAACAAATCTATGGTTAGAGTAACTTAATCCTGTGGACAAGGCTATTCATTCAAAATCTGGACCATTTGCATTAAATGTTTTCTCTCAAAATGATGTGCATGAAAAGTATGACTGTTTCTCTTTAGAAACACTAGCACACTTCCTCTCTATTCAATTATTTACATGTAGTTAATGGCCAATCAAATCCCAGTTGTTTCAGCTGTGAATATTAATGTTTTTTTCATTCAAAACTGTTTTCTGTTGTTGTTTCAGATGATCTTCCACTATGGGGTAAGCTCAGATGTAGAATTGATTAAAAATTGTTTTGATTTTGTTATTTTCAATATTTAAAATTATTATGATTTTTATTGATTTCATTATTAATTTAGTGTATTTGCATCGCAAATTGTTATCTTTAATTGTTATCTTTTATTAAAAGAAAGATCTTTCAAGGTGAAGCAAACTTTCCTTTGCTTTCTTTTTTTTCATATTTCTATTTTTTTAATGTATTTATTATATATTTAGATGACAACATTTTTGTATACAATGTATAAAATTATAGAGTCATTTGTAGCATAAAACTGGAAAGGAATATCCTTACATGTACATGTACAAGTGTACATTGGAAAATGAAAGAAAAAAAGAAAAAAGAATTACTTGATTGTTCATTATTTTAAAATGGCAACATTTCTTTCTCTTGAAGGCATAATTGGAGAAATTGGGGAGAATGGTGAAGAATACTACATTTGGACACACAAGAAAATTGAAATTGGTTACAATGCAAACCAGATTGTGGATGTGAACTTRACGAGTGAATCTAAAGTCAAACTCACACCCAATGCCAAAATCACATTCACTTATGAGGTAGGCATGTATTCAAAATGTCCTTGGTAGAGTACAAACATTAAATGTGTGCAACACTTTCCACTATTTACTACAAAATAGTGTTAATTAAACAATAGAGTGAGCGCACTAAATGCGTGAAATATAAATACTACAAAATAGGTGATAAATTATACAAATTCCTTTGTTTCCTATTGTATAATCAACACTATTTAGTAGTAATTAGTACTATTTGTTTCACGCTTTAAGTGCGAGCACTCTAGAATTAGCATAAGTTAGCAGTATTAGTGGTATTATGTTGCACAGTTTTAGTGTTTGCACTCTAGCATACAGTGATACATATCTTATTAAAAAACATTGCTGATTTTAAGAAAAGGCTGAACCATTGGGCACAATTGCAATTGCTCATATCAAAGCAAATCTCATGATACAATGAGAAAACAATGGGCTAACATTAGATGGTTGACAAAACAATAAAACAAACCTAACCTAACAGCAGAATTGAAGTACTATACACACTTTTAATAAGTCCCAAGGTATTGTGTTCTCCGCACTTGACGTCAAATTTATTCTTTTGAATTCCTTTTGTATTGTAAAAATTTCAAAAGAATAAATTTGGGGGCAAGTGCAGAGAACTCGATACCTYGGGACTTATTAAAAGGGTTTATATGAGCGACTAAAAATTACTGTATCTTTRAAGCTAAGACCAAGAGGAACTTTTACATGTACATCAAATTATGACAATATTAATAAATATTATAAATATTATGAGGATGTGAATGTGTTGTGATTAGCCATAGGTAAAATCTGCTTTCATTATTTATTTTTTCAGGTGAAATGGAAGGAATCTCCAATGGAATACKCCAAGAGATATGAGAAGTATCTTGACCCAAGTTTCTTCCAGCATAGGGTTAGTTACAGTATTATACAAATGATATGTAACAGTATACTACATTTTAGATACTGTACTGTACTGTTACATGTAACAAATCTTTGATTAGGACTAATCTGAAAAACCTGATCTATAGTCACAAACATACTGTACATTCCAAACATCAAAKATGTGATACTCATCACCAGTTGTTTTGTCTGAGGAGGAAAAGTAAGGGAAAAAAAGGGACAGAACCAGTAAATAGAAAAATAAATTCATGTGATGCCAAGATCAGGACTGGGTTGTTCAAAGGGTTCTCCAATGATAAGATTTAACCCACGATTAGCACTAATCAAGCTTTGAATAACCCAGCCCAGGGTTTAAACCAGAACAATGTCAGGGTGACTGACCTTTGGGCCATGCTTTCACCCAATATTATTACACTGTATTCATGTTTGTCATACTTAACGTCAATATTTCTGTCTTGCTTTAGATCCACTGGTTTTCTATCTTCAATTCCTTCATGATGGTGATATTTCTTGTYGGTCTTGTCAGTATGATTCTCATGAGAACTCTAAGGAAAGATTATGCACGTTACAGCAAAGATGATGATCTCGATGACATGGTAAATTCCCATTTCATTCCCTTCTGTTTTATTTTTTTTCTATGGTCAACCATTGTACCCTTGCTCACCAAAGACTCCAGTACCTCAGTGGTTAGAGCATCGAACTATTATCAAGACAGTCATTTTGTTGAATTTGCATTTGGGGCTAAGATCTTTCTGAGTTCCATTTTCCAACTTCAATATTTTCTTTCTTTGTCTTCCTATTATATTTATCTAGTATTTTATTCCATTTTCTTTCCCAAGTGCACTTTTCCTTTCTTGTTTCCCATTTTCTTCATCCTCTTTATTTCAGTTTGTTGAACAGATTTTTTTTCTCTTTCCTCAAATTCATTCCCTATCATTCATATTATGCTGTTATTTTTTTTTCTTTGGTACATGTACTGTACATAGTGAGATTTGAACGCATTGCTTTCAGCTAAATGGCTCAATGCTCTAACAATGAACCTGTTGTTATGCATTTTCCAGGAAAGAGATCTTGGTGATGAATATGGCTGGAAACAGGTTCATGGTGATGTATTCAGACCAGCATCTCACCGTTTATTATTCTCCAGTCTTATTGGTACTGGTTATCACTTGGCATCTGTCACTTTTTTAGTTGTAATGTTTACTATTATGGGTGACCTGTATACTGGGTAAGTTCAACTATGTGCTATTTTCCTGTTCAARAAGAGCTGCAGCTTTTTAAAGTGCTACTTGCAWGAAAATAGCCTTATTTCAAAACTTCTAGCAATACAAATATATGACTCATTATATCTATTAAAAACACAGGGTTCGTACAGTCTTGAAAAGTCCTTGATTTTGGAGGAAAGGTCCTTGAAAATGATAWTTTAGTCCTTGAATCAGTCTTGGTTGTTGTGAAGTAATGTTTTAGAGATCAATTTTGCCRAGCTTTGAAGCAAATTGATAATATTTCAATCCTTTTGGCAATGTCTGTTGTACTATTGTGCAATACGAYRGYAAAGAAATTAATAGAGATTGAGAGAATATTATGTTCCAAGAGATAAAGTTATTAAACAAAGTTGACTACAATGTTTTTATTGTTCTGTTTGGTAAGACATAGGACTGGTAAGTTTATTAACTGTATCTTTCTCTTTGTAATTGGTGTCCTTGACAATTGAAAATTAATCCTTAAAAAGTCCTTGAAAAGTCCTTGTATTTTATATGTAAAAATCTGTACGAACCCTGAAACAATTGCGGGAAAGTATTTGTCTTGGAATTATCCCACACCAGAGAAATTTTGATTCAAAAGATGGAAGAACAAAAGACGTCATCTACTCCATTATTTTTTGCCCAAATTATTAAGGATTTGTATGAATATTTTCTTGAAATCAGTTGCTTCATGATTATTACACCCATATGGATAGGTCTATTTGATTTCCAAGTCTTTCCTAATGTTTTGCAATTTTCGTCCAAGTAGCCCTTTAATTTGACTGCCAACACCCTTCCCCAAAGACCTTTAAAAAAGAACAACAAAATGCTGTCATTACAGAAGTGTTTGGTGTGAGTTTCTTCTCTTTTTTTGGAAATAGTTTACTAAAGGGTTAACCATTAGATAATCSTGCACAGAGAAATTTCCAATAGAATCTTTGTAAAATTTAACAAATAGATTTTGAGCACTTGTTTATGGTTGAAATAATAATTCTGCACCTACCAAATCATCCATCCCTCCTCCATCAAAATTCAAATGGCCAGTCTCTATAAAATTGTTCAAAGTAAGGTTCACATGTTTAAAAACGTTGTGTTTCTTGCAGACGTGGCTCCATTCTCAGTGCTACAATCTTTGTGTATGCTGCCTGCGCACCAATGAATGGATTTTTTGGTGGAAGTTTATACTCACGGCAAGGAGGTACAGTACAGCAGGCTATTTAATACCTTTTACAAAATCATAAGCTCAAACAAGTTTGATGGTAATTRTTWTTKTGTTTTAGGGAGACAATGGATAAAACAGATGGTACTTGGGGCACTGTTRTTCCCATTTTTAGTGTGTACCACAGCATTCATGATTAACTTTATTGCCATCTACTATCATGCATCAAGGGCTATTCCTTTTGGCACCATGGTAAGTCAATCATTGATGATGATGATGATGATGACAAGAATGATGATGATGATAACTACATCATAATTGTTGTTGTGGTTTTTATCATCATCATTGTCATCATCCTCATTTTGTTATTTTGTTGTTATTATCATCATTACCATTATTATCATCATAATCATCATCATTTTTGTTATTATTGTTGAAATATTCTTGACATGTAATGCACTTTTTTTCTTTCTTTTTTATTCAAGGTTGCCCTTGTATGCATTGTAACGTTTGTCATTTTACCATTAAACCTGGTTGGTACTGTATTGGGAAGAAATGTATCAGGACAGCCCAATGCACCATGCAGGGTYAACACAGTACCAAGGCCCATTCCTGAGAAAAAATGGTAGGCTWATTATTATGTTGCTTTGTTTGATTAATAATTTGAGTGCTGACACTAAAAGCAGAAAAAAAAACCTTATTAAATAGCACAGTATAGTGTATACAGCCTTTTGCAAAAATTATGAGAATTGTCTAAATATCTAAATAYCWTAATATCCATATCCATATATTGTCCGGAACACGCGGGTTTGCTAGAATAATTCATTGTTGACATCGAGAAAATGTTCAGAACTACGGATAAGTCTGTCGCCAAAAAAACTAAACAACAAAGACAAGGGACTAAGGGCATCGCGCGGGATCATGCACTTGATATTATGATATTTAGATATTTCAACAATTCTCATAATTTTTGCAAAAGGCTGTAGACCAGACAATAAATAGGCAAGGCAATATTCAGTGTTTTTTAGTGTTTGCACACTTTGTAGAAATGTTTGTATAATCTTGTGACTAGSTGAACTATAAACTTTCTTGTTTTTTTTAACTACCGTACATGTACATGTAAACACACTGATGTAATGAAGTAGAATTTGTGCAAATTGTTTTGTGTTTGTCTGACTRTGAAGTATTTCTTGTTGTTTTTCAGGTTTATGGAGCCAGCCATGATTGTTTGTTTGGGAGGCATTCTACCTTTTGGGTCCATATTTATTGAAATGTTAGTAAATACAGCAGTCTTTTTCATTTAAATATAAAAACTTTTATTGAAGTGATTTGCTAGTCCTCCTTAGCTCGGATAATTATTCATTTTCCTTGAAAAGCCCTTGAAATGGGGAAATTTGTTCTGGAGCAATAGTTGTTTAGTTTAAGTTAGCTTGGCTTTGTTTGGTCCGTCATTGTTAAACTTTCTATATATGTACAATCATCTTGTTTATGAAAGTGATTTGCTATTCCTCCTTAGCTCGGATAATTATTCARTTTCCCCTTGAAATGGKGAMAATCACTAAAACTCCTGGAAAATTCTTTGAATCTGATGAAATTAACATRTTGCTTTKTAGCTTTTGAATTTTAATGTGGCTATTTTTGAAAATCGCCACTGGAAACGTTCGCAAACATCAAAAAATAGTCCTTGAAAAATAATTTTTGTGCTTAAAAAGTTCTTTAAATAAGTCCTGCAATTTTGTCGTGAAAATGTTAGCACGAACCCTGCGTAGAATGGACATGAAGAAATATGAATATAGATGTTAATCAATCAAATAATTCTGCTCTAAAAAAAGCTAGAAATTGTACGAGCCAAGCCRTGGAGGTGTATTTATGTTAAGTAATACCATGTAACAGCTGCGCAGCCATTGAAATTRTTGATCTTTTTTTCTGCAGGTATTTCATTTTCACATCTTTCTGGGCCTACAAGATCTACTATGTGTTTGGGTTCATGTTCTTAGTTTTTCTTATTCTTATTGCTGTTACTATTTGCGTTACCATTGTGTGCACGTACTTCTTGCTCAATGCTGAAGACTACAGATGGTAAGTCGATTTACTGATCATACAATATTACTACATCTTCACAGTTACTGTATTCCTTATTGAGAGGTCATTGTGCCTGGGTATTCAAATGCGATGACCTGTGGTCATACAAATATAATACCTTTTTATACTGAGAACAACAAAGTATATTGTAACCAAGGCACGTCTAAGCACTTGTGTTGCTTTCACGCTTTTGATTGGTGCGCGGTTCGAATCCCAGATGATGAAGTACAATCTTTTTTTAAATTTTAGCCAACTCTTTTCATGATGATGGTTATGCTTTATAAAGTGAAAAAAAAGACAACAACAACAAAAAGCAAAACAAAATAAACAAACAAATTCGCGAAAATCTTCCAAAGTTGGGGGCCGAAACGCGCAACCTTCGATGAACGACGACGTGCCGGGAAAGCAACACGAGTTTACTGTTTACCCTGGGTGTCCTGTGATGCATCGTTTCACTTTGGTGCATATTTTTGGTACTATTTCTGAGGATATAAAAAAGCGAGAACTGTACATTTCTCGTCATGTTTTGTATTAGACATTACTTATAGTGGAGATTTTCATATTATAATTTTTACAGGCAATGGACAGCATTCCTTTCAGCAGCATCCACATCAGGATATGTTTACATGTACTCCTTTTACTATTTCTTCTTCAAAACAAAGTAAGTCCTAGTATTACCCTGAATGCTTAGCGCGACTCGTCAAACACGAAGTTATTTTGACGGGCATTTGGCTACTGAGGAGGCTACTGAGAAGTTATCTAAAACAGCCTTCAGAAACTTGATGAGCCTTGAATGAAGCAAGAAACAAAACTTGCATGCATATATCACTTGCATGGTGAAACTGATAGTTTAGGTGCATTTATAACGTGCGCTCGCACTGGCCAATGATCGCGTTTAGAGACAGGTCGTGTGCCGCCTTTCTGTATTTCTTCACATATGTGTTTCATTCTCTTTTAAAGAATGTATGGACTTTTCCAAACAATGTTCTATTTTGGCTACATGGCCCTGTTCAGCATTGGACTTGGAATAATGTGTGGTAGGTTTATCTATTAATCTTTCAGTGAAAAAATATACACTCCATTAATGYTTGWCTAATTTGTTTTCCAGGGACAATGGGTTACSTTGGTGCAAGTATGTTCGTCAGGAAAATCTACTCCACTGTTAAGATCGACTAAATGACCAAGTGTCCCTCTATAGAACAAGCTAATGTATTGTTTTTCAAATTCATTGACATCCTGAAGAGAAAGAGAACTTTTCATCAAATATTCACAGCGGGTAAGCTGCCAAGAATGCAGTCCCGTTGGGAACTTCACAATAGACTACAAGTGTACATGGTTATAATAGCAAAACTATACAAAAAGGACAGTGTACAATCAGAAACTCGTTAAGGGTTTGAAACTTAGAACGCACAATGCATTCTCTGGAATATTCACGCAGGTTATGACCATATTTGGCACTCTAAGCACGATACAAAATGGCCGCCTGTCAAAATGGCGGATTTTTAGGGCGACTATTTCGATTGCACTAAATAAACGTATATAATGTTAAATAAATAAATAAATAAATAAATATTTGAAAATTTACTATCTACAGTACTCATGATTTTGTGCTCAGTATGTGTTTGTCGAAAGTTTTGCTTTCAGTGTTTTGAAAGCAAAGTAGATTATTTATTTGACGGAAAGTGAATTCATCAAGAAAGTCGGATATTCCAGAGAATGCGTGGGACAAATGTACAGCAGTTATGCGTTTCAAACCTCGTTTCTGGTATAATAGAATAGTGAACGCTAAAATAGATCGTAAAACTGTCTAATGTATGTAATGATTAATATTTTGTATAAATGTATCAGTTTTGCAATATACACAATAAAAGGCTTTTAATTCTATGTTTAATTGAATCAGAAGAATTCTTTATTTTTTCAAGAAAATCGTTACCATGTAATATAAGAAAAATAGGCAGTCGATGACTGCATGTGACTCAGGTTATTAAGAGATTTAATTAACTTCGAGTTTGCTTCGTTACGAAATGGAAATTCAAAGTTTAACGAAAGCTCCTTTTGAATGGTGAACTGTGATAGAAAGACCCACGATGCATTTCGCGCCTGGAATACACTATCTTTAATTAGCTGTATACCCTGTAAAGAACTAAAAGCATCAAGTTGTGATCAAGCATTWCGTTGTCTATAAATGTACACTAGGCGGCCATTTCCCAGGGGCCAAGGAACCTTGGAACCTATTGTTATGGTTGATGATTCCTCACGCAGGAGCCTGACGCGAGGCGCCCTGTTTCCCTGCCTAGTAAACATATTATCCGTCTGAAAGATTCGGGGAAAAGGAATCGGTTATAAATGGAGTCCTTAGAGCTTTGATGCATGTAAATTACTCTTATTCGCCTGATCATAGTTTTCAAATAAAACCTAAAGATTGCTAAGTTTTCTTCATTTCTTTATCAATTTTATACGGATTTTCATTCATCCAATTCAATTGTTAACATTCACTAGATTTAGATTTAGTAGTTATTTGATAATCAATCCATTAGATAACTTGTATATATTATCAAGAACGAAAATGTAGAACGTTCGAGTTTAATGTTTCAAATCTTCAGTTGTGTGCCACTGCGATCCCGGCAAATCTTTGGCAACAGCTACTAGTATCTGCCTGGTTTGATCATGTTGTTGTGCTGTTTACTTGAATACTAGTAATGTCTGTCTGATATGAGAACTGTACACATTTTCCTGTGGAAAACAATAACGACAATTTAACAGCTCGGTAAAAGCCGCCACATTACAACGAGTACATCGGTATTTGGGCGCAAACCAGCACCCATCCCTTCAAATAATAAACCACTGAAGAATGATTATGGAAAGCCTGTACCGTTTGCTATTCCCGAGCTGAGCTCTGGTTGGCTCGCCGCTCCCTAAGGATTTTGGTGACGTCATATATTAGCATAGAAGTTCACCGAATAGACTACCCCAATTAGATATTAGATATCTATAAGTGTCTTCATAGTACGATGGTCTAAGAGGGTAGCTAAAGGTATGCTCTAGTGGGCGGCTACCCCCTCACTCCCTGGCCTTTTGGTTAAGACTAAGTTTTATGTTCACTCGGGATAGCGTGGAAGAGCCGAAATCTCTAACCGTATCGTAAACCGATTCGACGCCTCAGCTTCATAGAATGTCTCGGGGGAATCGTCCCATCTTTTCATTTATTTATTTTTTTTAATTTTCCTTATTTTTATGTGTTCCGGGGGGTGTAATCTTTTCCTAAAGTAAAAGTCCTGAGTTCGAACCCTGCTGCTGGGATTTCTCTTTTTTTCTTGTTGAATGTTTCTTTTTCTTATTTTTTTCCCCTTTTTTTCCTGTTTTCTTTTCTTCTTCCTATTTTTTTATTTTTCTTTTCTTCTTTTTTCTTTGCTGTTGTTTTTTTTTTTTCTCTATAGATTTTCTCTTTTCAACTTCACATATCAAGGACTCGCAAGGAACGCCTGCTACAAGTGGATGGTTACGGTTCGGTCACTCAACACGATGACATAATCACTGGAAAAAAATCGCGCGCTTTAAAGGTTGTAAATTTGATGTATATATGATGTAAGTGTTCAAAATGATGTAAATTTAATGTAAATCATTTCCATTAAATTTACAGCATTTTGGACACTTACATCATATTTCCCGATCAAATTTAATGGCGCGCGATTTTTTCCAGTGAGTGACGAGAGGCCCTATAAGGCCTTTCGTCACAAAGATAAGTAGTGTGCAGCGAGGCCATTTTGTGCAGCAAAGCATGATGGTGGTTGTATCCCCTGAAAGCTGCTTAGGAGGACTGTTGAAGTGAGAGGACTACAACTACCGTCATGCTTAGCTGCACAGGCCGCAACCCAACACATAAGACCTCGCGAAAAGATAGGCGTAATCCCCTCCGCAACACATACTAAGATGTTCAAATGTAAAATGTAAAGTCGTAATGCGCATTGCGTTTTGTAGAATGATCAAACCCAATTGCGTGTTGTAGTGAAATAATGAAATGGACGTTTTCTGACTTTTCTGTGTTTAGTCAAAAGACATCACGCTCAAACTAGCGGGCGACAAACTAGCAGCACTTACATTTTTATGGTAGGTATCGTGCGACAAGTATCCTTGCTTATCCAGGCACTTACAATTAGAGCTCTGAAAATTGGAAACTTCATCGAAGTAAAAACCTGACATTCACTGGTCTGACAATCTCGTGCACAGGGATCCCAACATGATCCTTGGTAGCCTGGCARAGTCAACTGTACCGGGATCAAGATGGAGGTCGTTGTTGGAACTTACGACCCCCTTTTACTAGGATTTCAACTCATCAGAAACCCCGACAATGAAAAAGTAAGATCTCTTAACAAGAACTATAGGTCATGAACACGTGAYAATGTAATTTMATTGAAAACTTCATCTAGATGTTGTATGTTATCGTTTTACAGAGCTTTCGTTTCGAGCCAAAATTTGTAGACCGAGGCCATGCTGGATGCGTAAAAAGTGTCGTTTGCGATCAAGAAGGGTCGATACTAGCCTCTGGGAGTACAGACGAAAGTATCAGGTCAGTTTTTCCATGAGACAATGACAAAAAAATTGTAGTTCTGAATTARCTTTTKTACCTTCAAAAAATCGTCACCGATTCTTGAATGTGCTTATAAGGTAAACAAGCTTAACTTAAGATAGATTTAACTTAAGAGTATGCTGAATATTAAAAGCTTCCTAATCTTTCTTGTCATGCAATGTGTCATGTGTCACGGAATTTTATTTTAACTAACATTGTTTTACGTTATTACTGAAAAATTGATAAATTTTACATGTAAACAAATAAATTAGCACGTGTTTTAAGCTTATGTGTTCATATATCATCTTATAAGCATAAAAAGTGAATTGTAACTCGTGACAGGAAATAAAACATAGTTTTGTTGAGAAGGACTTATTGCTTGTCAACCACATTAATACTAGACATGCTAAAAATTGGAAAGATATTTGGGACAACAATCATCAGCCAACAACATAATTTGCTTTTTATATAATATATGATATCAAAGAGGCAGGATTTTGCTGTAACTCCGAGTTTCATGCTACGCACTAATCAGACAGTATTTTCTTTTTATAAATAATAATAAGAATATTACATGGTCGCTTGGAAATATGAATTTTATCTTCTCATGTTAAAAACCTCACTAGACTTACTCTTGAGACATCTTGTTGACGTTCAAAGATAAATTCTGTATCTCCATGTGCCCATGTGATATCCTCTATCCACTATCACTCTGAAATAAAGTACTTTAGTAATTTGTATAAAGAAAGCATTCACTTCAATTTTTGCCTTGTCTAGGTAGTGCTCTCAGACCTTGAAAATATGATTTCACTTCAAACTGATAAGGGGGAGGGGAAGAAAGTACAGTCATATCACACAAATGTGCCAAGGCATTTTGCATCTTGCGTATTATTTTTTCCTTTTTATGAGTAATTTCTCATTTTGTTAGGTTGTTCAGTTTAAAAGACCACAGAGAACTTGGTTCTTTGCATCAACATGAAGGTTTGAAACACCTACATTTTCTAGTCAGTGCATTACTTATGTAATTTGAGTCTGACAATTTTTGAATTAG